AAATATTGAGCCTATTAATAAAGACGTATATTAAAGATGGATCGAAAAATAATCGAAATTTTGTTTTGCTGGCGAAAAATATTTAGTTACTAAAAAAATATTAAAAAGGTAGTCAACGAAATAGTTTCCATCGTCTTCTAACACCTCTTACCTTTTTAGCGTGAAGTCGTTGTTATGCGATTCCCTTTATAAAAAATCCTTCGATATTTTATTGAAAAAATTTTCCTTATGCGTTTTAAGTTTTCCAACTTTATTAAATTTTCTACATTTTAATGTATGTTTGAACGATTTAAAAAGATGGTAATCCGAAGACGTGATCTCTGGTGAATAAGATGGGTGAGGTAGAATTTCAGAGCTTCTTCTCTCTCTTTTGACCAAACAGATTAGTTTTAATGGGCTCTTGCTTTATTCGCTCGGGTCGTCCACAATACTCTGCTGTTGCTTCTCCGGAAGAAGACCATTGTCTTTTTCGTACCGTGTTATCGTATAGCATACACTTCTCATGTCCAGTCCCAATTCGTCGTGTTCGTTCCAGAACACGCAGACGGTACGCCGTTGATTAGGCGTTGTCTCCTTCAATTCATGAGGAATGCAAATTGCTTGCCTATACAAACTTCCTATGCGACGAATATGATAATGAACTGTACACCGTGGACAACTAATCTTCAGTGATAACTCCTCAATTGTTACTTTCAGGATATATTTCTTTTTGATCCCCCTTAAATCAAATGGATATTATGTTCCGGCATGCCCATAGGATTAGTCGTTCCGAATGCGACACTTCTATTAAAAGAAAATTCGTGTAAAATTTCGCCCATAATTGCAGATTGGAGAAGAAGACTTCTTGAGTGTCCATCGATGTGTTGTAATTGTATGCCCAATTGGAATTCGCGCAAATAGTTTTATTTTAATTTTGTCAACATGTCCGCATGAGTAAGTCGAGCAAGTAAGAATATTGCCTATCAAGTCACTATGCGTAGGTTCAAGCTACGATCAACCGGTAAAATTATAACACTTACCGATTGGACATTATCCACACTCTACGCTACTGCTGCTTGCTTATCTCTCGCTCTTCCTGTTCCTCTTCCTCATATCTTTCTGACCGTCACCGTATTACACGAATAAGGGACTATTCCCTATTGCACATAATGGAGGGATAAGGTGAGGATTAACAGAGGAGTACTAGTATTGTAGATTTCCATTGCATACGTAATTTTCTCTTCGTCTTTCTTTCTAATGGATCTTTGAATGTCCAAATTTTGCATGATCTCGTCCGATCCGAACCACTTTCAATAGCGTTTGTCCTGGGTCAAATCACGTCAGTCTACCAAATTGAATCAAAATTTCGCGAAAATTGAGATCTGAAGGCCGAACACAAAAATACATCGGCAAACATTAGACGGACAGACAGAGAAGCGAGCAGACGATGAATTGGAAAATGATTCTGAATCGATCGGCATAATAAAAGGAGGATGTGAGACATATCTGCACAAACTTAATATGTCGTTCCATCATAAGTGTTGTACGGTATAAAGAGACGTGTAATGAAGTTATTTAAGAATGCTTCGTAGAGATTCCGACCAGTATTAAAAGTGTTAAAAGCATTTAACGAATCTAGTAGGCTTTCGGCTACACTTCTCCTCAAAGCCAGAACTTTTAAAATACAACACTGTACATATTACACAATTTCTTCAGAAGCATATATATATACGTATATGCAAAATGTGTTTATACTTATATAAAAATTTAATTTGACAAAACCTGATATATTATTATTTGTTTTTCAAGAAGTGAATGTGAATGTGTTTTTTCATTTTATTTGTCGGATTTTTTAGTTTTTAAATTGAAATAAATTTCTAAGTTAAATAATTTTTGCGGAAACAAAATAAGAAACATACACTTTTTTTTTACATACAACCAGTTCAAGAGAATGGAAATTAGCATAAAGTGGAACATATGCCGTGTTTGTCTGCAAGAAGAGACCGATTCTTATAAGGCTCCCCCTGGCGGACATATGCATTATTTATTTGACGATAATAGCGAAGAATTCGCTAAGGAAATATACGAATGCGTCGGGCTTACGGTAATATTATGAATGATCTTGAAATATTGCACGTAAAAAAAAAAAAAAAAACAAAGAAAATAAGATAAACTATTTATTAAAGTGTTTTCAATGAAAATTTGTTCCATTCATAATTACAGATAAGTCCTGACGATAACTTACCGCAGAAGATATGTAGCCATTGTTTGACAGTGTTAAGATATGCAGTCAATTTTCGTAAAACTTGTCGAGAATCTGAAGAATATTTACAATCAGTTATAGAACGCACAAAATCGGCCAGCGCTCTCTTTAAATTGGATCGTAGACAAAAAAATCGCTTACATTTTTTGGATGAAAATGATGAAAACTCTATTCCATATTATGATAGCAATGAAGAGGGCAGGTTAGTTGATAGTGAGTCCGCAGATTATGTTAAAGCGGATATTAAAAAGCGAAAATCCCGAGGTAAACGATTTAGTGGTCATATACGAAAATATACTAAAAGATCGTTAGATTTGCCTACCTGTTCCAAATTACTTCCAATTAAGGAAAACGATTTGTCGAGAACCGAGACAGATCTTTATAAGGAAGAGGAAGAAGAAGAACAAGACGACATAAACGAGATTATCATGGAAAAGGACAATGACGGCAAACCTGCTGAAAACGAAGAAATCAAAATCAATGAATGTGAGAACGAAAAAGAAAATGACGATATAATTGAAGAAGACAAAGTTATAGCTGAGACATTCACTTCAAAAGATCCTAATACTGCAGAGCATTCGCAAAAGTACACAGAAGAAAATGAAAATAATCCAAATGAGTCTTGTATGGAAAGCGATTATAATCATAATTCCCTTAGCCCCAATATGTTTGACTTTTCCAATTTATGTGATTTTATTACTAAATTGACAAGCCCCGAAAACAATATAGAGAAAGATTTTATAACAGAGCGATGTGACGACGAGCATGACGACGAGCATGACGACGATAATCAAGATTCTGATAATACAGTAAAAGAAGATGATGATAAGGACGATTTAATCGAAACTAATCCAAGCATTGAAAATGCGGAAAATGAAACAACTAAGCAAGATTGTGAAATAGAGGAAGAAGTTAATTTAGAAGCTTTAGAAGAATTTGAAAATGTCGAGATGACGCCTACATCTCGTGAACATTACGATGAGAAACATGATGATGATGATAATCAGTATTTTGAAGAAGAAGAAGATGCATTAAAAATTTCATACACTGACAGAGAAGCTTTTGAAAATATTGAATATATTTTACCGGATATTGATGAAAATGTTGGGGCTAAAGGAGACGATAATGCAGCTAAGCATACGAATAAAGGCAAAGTTCGTTCGCAACGAACATTTAAGAAAGAAGAAGGCAATGCATATGATAATTCCCCTATTAGTTGTGCATTGCTATGCGATATTTGTGGAAATACGTTTTCAACTCGTTTCCTTTTAAATATTCATTTGCGAACACATCGTCAGGAGAAACCACATGAGTGCGAGTAGGCTATCTTTCTCACAGCAATATATAATATTCAAATTGAAAAATTTATTAAAAAATTTATTTGCGGTAGATTATGCCTTAAACGTTTTACAACTGCCTGTTATCTGCAAGCGCATATGCGTGTTCATATCGGAGAGAAAAATTTCGACTGTCGTTTTTGTCGACGCCGTTCAACCGATCGTAGCCCTCATATTAAACAAGAAAGGTAAATGTTTCAATTTTAATACGCATTGAATTTTCTTATTTATAAATGTCTTTATTTTCATATAGAGTATATACAAATGGAACTTGCGTTTTTTGTACCAAATCGTCGCCAAATTTTGTACTCCACTGAATATTTCTACTGTTTCTCTAAATATTTATTTTCGATAAAAACATTATTTGTGTTTAGAATGAACGAATGAGATGATGGGATAAGCAAATCATATTTTAATGGATGTGATGAATTCAATAACAAAAGCACGGCATTAATTATCACCACGTATCGCACGTTCACGTATCGTCCATCGCAACTTTGTTAAGAATGTGTCGAAAATTGTCAGTGTAACATTATGTTTCCTCAAAATTAAAAAATAATCATTTAATCATAATCCAATTAATGCAAATTGTAAATCATTTTGAAATCCTGTTCTTATATCCTAAACTAATTGCGCTTGATTAGATTTGCTCCGATAAATCCGACATCTGGAATGACTTGAGATAGACGCAGCTTTTATTAAATCTATCGATTCAGCTTGTCCGTCCGTCTGTCTGCCTTTCTTGTTTTCTTGTGTTTTGATGATATTCTATACACCGACATCTTTTGACTCAGAGACGAATGCTTCTGTTTGGACAACTCCTTCGACCATTTGCAATATAAATTCTTATTTTGAAAAGCCATTGTATGAATAACAGTATTAAACGAATTGGTGTAGGGTATTTCAATGGTAGACTATGTTCTATATGCTGGTTTTTTCTTCGATCTGTACATTTTTGCTCCGTTTGTAACAGTAAAGATATCGCCTGCATATTTAGAAAAGGATTCGGAAGTGACGTAAATTTTTCAAAGGACACGCCTATGTGACAAAAAAACTTTTATTTTGAAAATAGAAAAAACCAGTCCCGCCCACTCCAGGTCATAGAGTATGAAAAGTTAGTTCTTTTATTTTGTTTTTTGTCTTTTTTTAGAATAACGATGATGGGTATAAAAGATTCGGTCACGACCGAATACAATTTTCTTACATGTTTTTTTTAAATTTAACTTATGTAAATCGTTTAATAAATTTGCGCCATTTCCTGCAAGAATGCATAACGTCAGTGTATACAACACTAAAATATCCATTTGATTGCACTATCTCCTATGCCGTCTTTGCGAATATGTATATAAGCTACTCCAAGATAATTTCTATGATCTTTGAAAATGTCGAGTTTTGAGCAAAAATACGAAGCAAAAAAAGAATATGACAATAGTTAATTTTCTATTTGATTCAATAGGTAAAGAATAAATGAACAAAGGATGGGGTTGTTAGTGAGCCATGTTATACGTCTTGTAGGTATTATAATATAAGACGTCTAGAGCAGCGGTTCGGCGTACACTGATTGAATGATATTTCGAAAAAAATCCTCACACAGATTGGAAGCAGATGGAACTCGCTTGCAGGGATTAGCCTTTTACACTCGCAAACATAAACCAAGCTTTGCGTCGGTCTGTGGAATAAAATTGTTTAGTTAACAGATTATAAATGTAGGAATCTGTAGTGTAATGTCCTTAAAATAATAAAAAATGATCAGAATACTCGTCAATATAGTAATTAAACGAATTTTGTTAGGTAAGAATATGATAAGAATATGATAAAAGAATATCGCTTTTAATTGTAACGTGATCGTAGAAGAAGAATGAAGTAATTATTCACGAGCTACATATCTCAGAATGATAAGGAAATGGAAAAGGCCAGATCGCCGACCTAGAATATCGACTTTAGCAATAAATTAGAAAAGCTTTTGTGTCACAAGCCTACAAGCTTGCAAAGCTGAAGAGATAGAAATTTTTGTATGAAGAACTTCTGACCCATCAAGTTTGTGGTTCACTGTTTAGAAAAATTAGATATCGTTCTTTACTAGGCGAACCATTAGTATGGAATATAACGCTCAATGTCCATAATATCCTCGTTCCTGTTAAGTACATTATGGATTATTCCGCTTAAAAGGTACCATCTTGAAGGAATAGTAATAATATAAACCACTTCTTCCCGTTTATTGGGTAGGGTGCATTAAATGTATGTATAACAGGCAGAACAGCTTAGGTCACGTTTAATTACGCTGATCGATTCACACCCATTTTGTGAATCTACTTTCCTATCTCTTTGATCTCCTTGCATATTCTCTTGCCCAATCTAGAGATAGAAATATTGAAGAAATTTAGTATACCAACGTTTTTAAGCTCGTCGACGAAGTATATCAAACTACTTTCGCTCTCCATTTAACGGCTTGCTGTAAGACGCGATTAAGCATGTTTCGACACTTTGACGCATTAAACAGAGACATAATAGGATAAGCTTTAATACCACAAAAGCATAATGCTATCTCTTAAGGCATGGAGGAAGTGGCCAACAATCTGTCTTCTTTAATAGTGTCATCGCAAAAGAATCCGCTACCCTTGATGTTCTGGACATGAGAACATGAAATGATGACTATTGAAGAGAACATATATTGCTCCTCCGCTATCCGGCCAAAATTAGAATATTAGTCCGGCTGTGTGGGCGAGAGCTTTCAAATCTTGCCATACCCATCGATAAGCTCAGATGATAGTAGGTGAAGAAAGTGTGCTTAAAACTCTCCATGGCTTCTAGTGCAGGCGTAATTTGGGCTAGCTAAATATAGGTGTGAACAGAGCGAGAACACATAAAGAGAGGAAGAATTAAAAGGGGGTCTCTCCATTAATTAAGTGCTTTAACACAACTGCATGGCTTTCGTAGCAACCCCATCCCGTTACCCTAGCTTAGCAAGCAACCCACTATCGAATTTCATCTTTCTTATCTGCACCGTCCCCCTTCGAGACAAACTAGCAGCAATGATCTTGTCTACGATACGTGGTGTCTCCACGTTCAAGTCGATTGTACACAAATACTACCCGGCACTCTCTACTTATACTGGTTCTTAACCACAATCATGCTCGCAAAATAAAGAACAAAACTATCGTCCTTTTTTTTATTAAATCAAATCAAATTACGAACTTGAAGCATTATTAATAATTTGTGTCAGTTTTAACCCTAAATAAACATGTTTATATGAGATAATCTCCAGCGCACTCAATGGCAAGTGTTTAGCAATTGCACTTACTGCAACCCAAGCGTTAAAAAACATATACATTTTGTGTCTCCCTAGAAGGAAAGCTATCAAAATACATACATACAAACGAAAAATCAATAAAAATCTTATAAAGAGTGCCACTTAAATTTTGAAAATTCTTTTTCGTGTGTCGTAGCAGACAAAATCGTTATTCAGAATACTTTAAGCCCCTTCAAGTTCTCTATCGTAAGATAGTGCTTGTGAATGTATAGTACACATGTACATGAGTGTGGAAAGTGCTTATGCAATTTCTCAGAGTTTGGATATATTTTGCAGTTAAGAAAAAGAAGCGAATTGTGTAAAATTGGCGTAATTTAAGCGTCTTTGCCTTAGTGTGCGGGATTATCATTGAATTTAATAATTCATCTTAAAAGTATGTTACAAAAAAAGTATACTTGAGTACATAAAGGTATGCTATAATAATCGTATTATTAATATTAAACAATCTTTTTACGTCTGTCACTACTGTTAACGAAAACGTGATAGAGAAATCAAATTCATGTACAATACACACAATACAATATTTATTAAAGAATTCAACCAAATACATAGATAGAGTTTAAGTTCAGTAAGTAGCTGCTTACATATTTTTATTGTCTTATGTAAAGTATATTAGTCATCCCATGCGTATTAACTCATAACGCACCGAAAAAGGCTGCAATGCAAGTGATATGACGCTTATATGGCGGGTTCGTAATGGGTTTAATTGAAAAATAAAAAAGCGATTAAGAAATTACAAACAACTGTAGCCGAACTTTTTAATTCCCTTCACTAGTTATACTCCACAGCAATTAAATTATAATTAAGTTAGGCGAATGCAGACATTTGAAATTTGTACGAAAGTTCACAACACTGATGGAGATAGACTCACTAGATATTATATCGATCGATTCAGAAACATTGTCTCAATCGACTTAAACCTGTTTGTCAATCTATCTGTTTGATGTTTGTCTAAATTTTCTTGTGTTGAAGGCTAATTAATTTTGGCGTACTAACATGACGCACCGGAAACTCGAAATGAGTGCGGTAAACATAAGCGTACAATTTTGGCTTTAAGCCAATGTAATGACCGCATAGCACACAGTAGACATAAGCTTAGTGGGAATACACTGTCGTGTAGCTAAGCATGTAGGTGTGCTCGACTGATTTTTCTCTCTCTATATAGCATCAGAAAATATTATTCATCGCGCCGTAAGTGGTCATTAGCAATAGCACTTAAAATATGTTATTTACACTTTATATGTTTTTTATTTATTTGATGGTTGGAATGCGAGCAAAAAGTAGAAAGTTAATGCAAATTGTTTTTATAGAATATTAAAAGGGAGAATGGAGATGGTTTAACCAACTTATATAACATAAACCTTTCACCGGTCATCACGCATAGTAGATGACTAGTTGTTATAAGTTGGCTTTGCCATAATGACATAGTCAAGAAAGCAAGGTAATCTAAGTCTGCCCTTACGAGTTCAAATTGCCAACGCAATAGGCCACAATTGAATTATGGATTATGCGTAGAGTATTTGATCGGTAAAGGCATAAATGTTACCAATCGAATATATATATCTTCCTCTACTCTCTCTTTCCCTTTCTCTCTCCTCCTACTGCCACTTCTTGGTGACGTTCGTTCCACGAAATCCCCATGTGATGTCTGTCATCCTACCTGCCTGCTTATTGAAATTACTATTATGACTTTGAAGTTTTCTTAAGAAAAAAATATGTTCTCAATTTTTATAATATAGGCGAAAAAAGAAGTAAACATCATCGAAAAGAGAAATGCTCTCTCTATTTTCATTATTCACAAGCATTAACTCCCTCACGAACACAGCTTAGAAGCGACCTGCCTATCGTATAAATTAATTAATAAACCTAATTGCTTTGTAAGGAAGCAGCCTTCCTTATCCTCGACGAACGCGAAAGGAATTGTTGATCAAATCTAGATATGAAACCTGTATGTAATTCTACCTAAGATTATTAAACTATAAGAGCTTGCATTTAAACTTCTAGTCT